TCTGCTGGTCTAGAGATTGAATCCTCAAAAATTTCTCTATTACACACTCGTGAAAATAATTAGAATCGTTCTTTATCCGACGACCGAGGAAAAAAAATCATACTCTCCTTTTTTTATTTAAACTACAAAATTATTTCTCAATACTGACATACAGATTGTCATCGTGAAAAGACCTTTAGGTAGCTTATTTACATACCCATAAGGGATATATGAAGCCACAACATTACCAAGAGAATATCAACTGCTATTCTATTGATATTACTGATTCCAACATCATGTGTGCCGCTTGTCTTATGTGCACCTTAGTAAATAGCCTCAGTTAATGAATCCGAACGCGACAGAAAATGCTGGGCTCAAAGAGAGAGAGCTACAAACTCACATTTCTCTTTCACGGTCCCAGCTTACAGAAAACTGATTAAACAACACTTTATTCAAAAAATTCCTGTAAGATTCACTGAGGTTTTCTCCACACAGAGATGCATGGAATTTCCACATATAAAATATTTATATAACTCCAGCGGATATTTCTTTAAGAAGAGTTCATATGGTATTCTGAGTTTAATGTAATCAACGTCGTTCTTCGTTAGATACAACGAGAAGTCAAGTATCCTTTCTGGAAAAGAGCTTTATTGGAATTGAATTGCGGCATTCTTAAGGTGAGGAAAGATAGTGATGTAATAAGTGAAATATTATCATCGAAAGAAGGGTAAAATAATGAAAAATAAGTATACCAGACTACTGTATTATTAATGGAACCTCTTTAAATTTATATCTGACCCCATTTATGAACAATGATGTGCCACTTGTTCTCATAAAGTAGATTTCAATGCAATTTTCAACAAAACCAAAATTTAATCGTTCAGAACAGGAAAATTTATCTCATAAAGGGAAGAATCTTAGTTTAACACAAAATTCTCTTTTCATGTGAGAGGCACTCAGTGAATGAATCAGGAAGATGGGTGTCCTTTAATCTTCTTTGGGACTCAACTGCGAGTGAACAAATCTATCTTGCAAATTAGTATCCTTTTCTTGTAAGGAAGAAACACATTTCATTTCTCTAAAAGTAATCGTATTGGGATGAGATATATAGTATCATCATATTTGACTGGGTGTTTTTTTTTTCACTTTTGACTGAAAATATGTCAAGTGCAGAATTGGCGGGAAGAAGAAACAAGTTCCCCGTTATTATTTTTAGCAACTTTATGGAGTTGTCATGACAAAAGCGGAAGATGAAATATTAAGAAAATCGTAACGCTTTCTTTCATGGAAAGATGATAAAAAACCATTTGTCTTATAAACTGCATTGATTTATATCGCCAATCAGCTGCTGACGTGTCACTCGCCCTCCACGCCACTTTGTAAGGTGGATGAAGGAATATCAAATTCTCATTTTTTAGTATGGTCCACGTTTCTTGTCAGTAAAGGACTATAGTGTTTGTCTAATAAACAAAATAATTCATGTTTGCTTGTAAATATGGAGTTACTCTTCTCGTAATCACCTCGATATCTCACGAGTGAGCACGGCAAACGAGTAAGATATCGAGGTGATCACTTGAAGAGGAATTGTATTGTTACGATATTTAACTCACGGTTTGAAATTATTCTTTTTGATCCAGTTATGGCAGAGAGTGTCCTGCTCTGAGGAGAAAAAGGAATTGCGGGTGTTTTCCACTGAAAGGGGAATAACTGAATTTGAATCGCAGAATGAAATAATCGTCACGCAGAAACATTTAAACAAACAGTAATAAAAAAATAAAAAAACGATAACTTACTTGAAGTAGAAAAGGAAGTTTTGATCACGACTCTGGGAATTAAACGAGA